TAGTGTAGCACTATGGAGGATGTTGAAGTATAAGATTTTTCCTATCTAGCTCTTTGCTGTGTCAGTTGATTTTGTGAATTAGTGGAGCTAAGACCGTTGAATTCATGTGGTAATGTGGACTCTGTTTGGATTGTGTTATGACTCGTGTATCGAACAGGGTGCTCATGTGAGAAATGAAAAGCAGTTGGTCCTCCATGTCGAAATCATTGAAATCTTAAACATGGGGTAAGCCCAACGTGTGTGGCACCGTTCATTACAAAAAATCGGGTTTTGGAAGAGATTTTAGTGATCCTTAGTGGGGTACTCCTACAAGGTGAAGCTAAGCTGTCTCTACTACAAGTAAAACTTCCACCCGTTGAACGGTTTGCCTACTTGAGGATGTGTTTTTAAGGGCACGGATAGAGCTTCCGACCCCCCTTAATTTCATTTACCCTCCACACGAGTTGAGGAAAAGGAGTTAAAAGAAGTACTCTGGCGAGCGCCAGACGTACAGAAATTGCTCTTGCTCGACTAATAAGAGTCGATCGTGCAAAAGACTACAGTTGGAACCCCAGCCAAGTGAATGAAAAGAAACAAAAAAAGAAAAGTAAAATGAAAGTGAAAAGGGGTTCCAACGGTGAAACAAAGTGAAAGAGCACCCTGGTACAACGAGTCCTTGGTTGTGAATGGTGTGAGTCCCTTGATCCATGAACTGACTGTCTTACTTCTACTTCTTCTCATGATCCTGGCTTGAGTCTAGTACTCGCATTGAGAAAGATAGGGGACGTCTTAGAAGACCAGTTGACCTCGTAAGCTGCTTTATGATCTAGAAAGTCCTCTACCGACGATCGGGGTTGTTTGTTGCTATAGAGGTCTGGAGAGCTGCATTGGTTTGAGTTAGGTTTGCTTGGGGACAAGCAAACGGTTAAGTGTGGGGGGATTTGATGACTCGATATTTGCACATGTTTCTTGATCGTTTGAGCTTTAATTATCGCGTCTTTGGCCTATTTTACGCTAGGTTGTGTTCCTTTGTCACATTTCATGTCCTAGCACATAAAGTGAAGCATAGGCGCAAGTTTCAAGTCAATCAGAGATCAATTGGCGATTATGGAGAAGAAACTCGGGCATGACCTGAAGAAGAATGAATTTCTACCTCACTTTATGGACAAAGAATCATGCAAGCTTGACATGAAAAGAAAGAGGACGAGACTACGAGCGTCTGGGATCAAACGGCGGCTGATTCGGAGTCCGGACGAGGGAGAAACGAAGCATTGAATATAGGGGAACAGGTTCGGCAGTAAAAACACGGGCGCGCCTAAATCAAAACACGGCCGTGCCCATAATTAGGCACGATCGTGTTTTGGCCGACGCGCACGGGCGTGTTTTTAACACGGGGGCAAAACACGGGCGGGCAAAACCAAAGCACGGCCGTGCCCTCGACCGTGTTTTGCCCAGAATCGTGTTTTTAACCCAAATTCTAGCCAAAGGAGAGGGAGAGCTGGGTTTTTGGATCCCAAACACCCAGTGGCGGACCCAGAAATTTTTCATAGGGGTGTCCTCTTTTAAAAAATAAAAAAATAAAAAAAATAAAATTGTAAATATGAAAATACCTTACTCGTACAGGTTAAAAAAATCCATGATGTGTTTTCATATTCGAAAATAATTGTAGAATACACTTGGTGTCTATAGTGTTAAAAAAATTGTCTCTATACACACTACTAGACAATCATTCACGAACTTATCGCATATTCGATTTGTAAACTTGTTCTTGATGTAACCCAAAGCTGAAAGAATCTTTCAACACTTTTCGTAATCATAAAATCAATACAAATTAAGGGTACTTTGAAATTAGTTTAATTGTTAGGTTTTTAAAATAATTAGAGATAGGGAATGCCATTTTACTATTACACATTGTTCAAAATCGAACAACAAATGAGTTTAGCTCAACGGAAATTAAGTTTATTAATAATAATAGTGTTCTAGTTTTGAATTATCCAACCTACCACTTATATTCCTATACACAAATGACAGTAGGATAATCATTTTTTCAAATTTAAGGGGTGTCCCTCACTATCAATTATATTTTTTTTGTCCATACGTAAATTATCACCGGGATTGAATAATCGTTTTCCCAAAATTTAGGGGTGTCCGGGGACACCCCTAAACCCTCCTGGGTCCGCCCCTGCAAACACCTAAGAGACGAACCAAAGAGAGAGAGGGAGATTTGAGGGCATTCTTGGAGTGGAATTGGAGGATTTCTTTGCCTTGGTAGCTCGAGGAACAAGCCCGGACTTGAAGACTGATCATCTGAAGATTCTTACTGCAGTCTCTCTCTTCTCTATGGAGTAACTTCCCTTCACTTAGGTTTTGAGGAACCCTAGCTATGTTTGTTTGATTGGGTGATTGTATGAGTACTCTTACTTGATAATCTTGAGTTCATATTCAATCTATGCATGTTTTCATGATTCAATTATGCTTTAGTCGAGATTATTGATTCTACTTTGATCCTATGAGAGCGAATACCTGATTAGGTCAACAGAGCACCATAGATTGATAGTATTGGATCGATTGCTTTAGTCGAGATTTGATTCAATGCTTTGTATCGATTGAGAACCTCATTCGATAGAGGGAATCTAGTTCAAAATGCCTTGATCGGTTGTTCTAGAGAAGGATACGCCCCTCTAGGCAATTGACTCAAGAGGGCCTTGTTCCTTTAATCGAGACTCAAGGTCTAGTAAAGGATTCTCCGCATTGTGAATGAAAGTGAAACAAGTTAGAGATCATCAATCATTAATCTGGCTAGTGGTTAGGGGGAATCATACCTAAGTGAGTTCCCAACCTGTAATTAGATTAACTTTAACTGTAGTTTGTTAGAGTAGTTTTAGTTCTTCCATCTTAATCCGGTTTGCTAGATAATGAACTGAAGCTGAGTAATAGTAACTCTAGAGACCCGTGAATTCGATATTTATTACTTGAGCCACTATACTGCAGCCCCTTTCATTGGTTACACTTGGCCATTGTTAGGAGTTGTGTCATAGCGAGTCAGGTGCTTATTGAGAAAAAGGTTCATGTGCTGCCTAGGTGTCCAGTTTGGTTGGATGGCCCGGAGACGATGGTACACCTGCTCCTTTATTGTCCAGTTGCGTGGGCTCTCTGGGATTATTAAGGGATGGATTACTTGGGGGAGGGTTTGCCTTGGCACACTTTTTCATTATTCATCAAACGTCTGTTGGTGCTGATCCATCAGCCGACCTTGGTGATGGCGGTTGTTGCCATCCTTTGGCGGATTTGGCGGTCTCGTAATTTGGTTATCTTTGAAGGCAAAAAGTTTGGGATCCCGGCGCTCATGCGACAATTCAACCAACAATATGAGGAATGGGTGGGCTTGCCAGCAGATCAGGCTCCTAAGGTGATGATTCTGTCGATTCAATCAACTACTCAAGTGGAGGATTCCCGCTTGGTTTGCATGTGGGATGGGGCTACTAAGGGTTGGTCGCATTCGGCTGGTTGGATGGTAGTACTTGACCCGGCGCGGACGCTCCTTCTGGCAAGGGGGGTTCAGTTTCCGCAGTTGGATGAGCCTGCAGTGGTGGAATTGCTTGTGCTTAGGGAGGCAATGATTTGGTGTGTGGAGTGTGGCTTGTTAGAGGTCCGGTTTGAAGGGGACGCGAAGGTGATTATTGACAAAATTAATCAAGCCGGCACAAGAGACAACCGGTTGGGTGCTGTCCTAGAAGAGATAGGTCATTTTTTACGTACCCAGCCTGGTTTTAGTGTGCATTTTGTAGGTCGGGAGAACAATAGGGTAGCTCATTCGGTAGCTAGAAAAACACTTTCCTTGTATCCGACTATGAGTCGCTTCTTTGATTTTCAGGCCTGGCTAGTTTCCGGGATGTAAATGTCTATTTTTTGGATCAATATATGATATCTTTTGACAAAAAAAAAAACGATACAAAAAAAATATGAAAGTTCTGATATAGCTCCGATAATTGTAGCGAACACATCCATTAAACTACTAGAAATTCTTGGGGCGAAAGAAATCAATTAAGTTAGGAGTTGGGATGGAGTTTAAAAGGGCGCCAGCTAGATCCGTTCGATTTCATATGTAACTCCCAAAATGATAAAATCACTCATATATTAGTGAGATGCTTGAAAAAATTCACAAGGATATGAAAGATATGTTTGGAATTGAAGGATAATCAAATATCATATGTTTCTTGTAGTAGCATTACTCTTGTGATTATTTTTTTTTTTTTTTTTACTATTTGTGCAATTTGTATTTCATTTCATATGTTAATTGACATATGTTATGTAAAGTATTTCCATGCATATATATGTGAATATTTGTATTCTTAAAAAAATATGAAGCATATTTGATACTATTTTTGAGAGCGTTCATAACTCGAAACTACCTGTAACCCAACCCGAAACTGAATAAGTTGGGTCAATATTTAACTCGAAATCAACCAACTCAACATGACCCGACTCGTAACCTGAAATCTAAAAAATTACCAACTCGACCTGACTCTCATGTCTAAAATCAGAAATCTCATCGCCGTCATAAATGGAATATAATTTCTCTCTTTCTCAAAGTCGCAAATATACGCTAATAAGTGCAATTTTCTCTTTTGGGAGGAAAATTAACTGCAAATCTTACCCACACAATAGACGGGAGTGGTGCATATTCTGGACACTTAATGACTTAACCGTCTTTTATCCCCGACCATTCTGGAAAAAAGGCCCATTACCGTTCATACAGCTTTCTCAAAGAGTGGGCCAAACAAAACAAAGAAAGTGTTGCGGTTACTTTACTTGTCCACACCTGACACACCACCCAGTATTTTGGTCAAACGAGAATGTTGACCTGAGCTATCATTTTCTTTTTGGGTAATCAAGTTGGCCACCTCACCTTTTGATTACCTAAGCGAAGATGTCATCACAAACAACAAGATGACTGATGCCATTAGGTGGCTACTGGCTACCGTTATTGCCAAGAGTACTTTCCAGTTTCCACACACACAACACAACACACACTAAGACAAAGCAGCCGATCCAACGTTCGGCTTCGGCCCATTCCCAACCACCAACTCACGCACTACGGTCTACGTTCTTCTACCCTCTATATAAACCCGCACTCGCACAGCCTCCAATGCCCAAATCGTCCACACTCAGAGAGAGATAGCAGGAAAGATATCTCCGATTCGATCTACATCTCCGTCGAGTTCAGTTCAAATCCCGTTCGAGAAAAACAAAGAAAAATGGTTGCGAATCAGCCGGAGAAGGAGCATCCGGTGCCGGCCTTTGGTTTGGCTGCCAGAGACCCATCTGGAGTCCTCTCCCCCTTCAACTTCTCCAGAAGGTTTGGACTGTCAACCATCTCCTGATTTGATGTTAATTTTAATTCGTTATGTAATGATGAACGATATTAATAAATAGGGACCTCCTACAGTACCTTGTGTTTTTTGTAAGTTAGGTAACTTATTTTTTTCTTGCACAAATCTGGGCCATTAAAATTGAAAATAGAACATTACAGCCATTGATGAGAATTAAAAAAAAAAAACACGCTGATGGGGAAACCGGCTGTACCGGTTACGGCTGGCCGCCGAAAATCTCGCCTGAGAATGCAACCGTACCGTGTTCCCATGCCAATTAGGAGTCGGTGAATTTTGTTTATCCTAAAATTAGGTTTTCCAATCCAATAGTGCTTAATCCGCCGGGATCCCTTGTCTGCCGCCGCAACCACAGCCTCCCCCTTATACGACGACACCCGGCACCCCACAGGACTGATCGGAACCGTCGGTGCAGACAGGTACACGACCTCTGCCGGATCATCTCCGGCGCCACGGAAGCCAAGATCGTATCGACGGTACGGTACCATAAATCGCATACTTCTCCAGAACCTTCTTCTCCGATTTCAGTTCTGATCTTCGATCTCAATCAAGTGTCCGATTTCAGTTCTGATTTTCGTCCTCCATTGAATCGACGTTCGCCTCACACTTCTTCTCGCTGCGGCTGGAGAACCCGTGGTGTCGGTTTCTACAGGGCGCCTTCAATATCGCCGGGCGTCTTCAATCTCGCCGGTGGAGGGCGATTTTAGTCGATTGAGAGGGAGAACGGATTGGATTTCTGTTTCTCACTTCCATTTTTCAGATGAACAGTCGAAATCGAGAGAGGGAAGGAGAGGCTGAGCGGCGCCGATTTTCACAATAGTTTAGGGTTTTCGTTCCACTTTCTCCTCCTTCTGTCACTCGATCTGTCTTCCTCCCCAAACCACAAACCTTTCCTCCGCACAGAAGAAGAAGAAGAAGAGGTCGGTATCCTCAATCTCAGCTTCAATTCCCTGTTTTTTGCAGACAGCCATGGTTCCAAATTTTATGCAGAAACCAAACCATCTCCCAATTCAATCCAATCCAATCCAGCCAGCTCTGTTTTTTGTTTCTCTGGCTTCGCTTTTTCCAGCACACCCACACTCCACCTGTTCTTCCCCCCTAACTACTACGACCCTTTCCCTTTGTTTAATTGTTTGATCATTTCATTAGTTTCTTCGTCGCTTTATTGTTATTGGTTTTCGAAAATGAATTCCAGAGCAGGATGTGAGATGACAGCTGTTTAATTCTCTTGTGTCATGGGCTGCTTATTTTTATTATTTTATTTTTGTTTGGGGATCTCGGTTGAGATCGAGTTGAGAAAGGGTCAGCTGGTAGCTTTGCTTTTATTGTAAAAAGAAATGGTAATAGCTTTGATTTGTTTTTTAATAAGCAATTGGTAGCTTTCATGTGCCTGCGTGTGTCCTCTGAAACAATTGGTAGCTTTGCTTCCCTTATTCATTTTGAAGGCAACCCAATTTTTTGGGGCTCTAACTCATTGTCGTACATGTTTGATTCAAGTTGTAACTGTAGTTTCTGCTTGTCCACTTTAAAGATGAGCAAGGTCGATGAAGGTGTCTCCTCCGAACTCAATGATGAAAACCAACAAAGAAAAGAAAAGGTAATTCATTACATCTATTACCGGTCTCTTTGAGATTACTGTATGTGGTTAAGATTTTGATGTTGGTAAAAATTATCTTAATGAAAACATTATAATGTAGGTGTATTTGAGCAGTCGTTGTGGCGTACAAGAATTCTCTGGCCTTATAGATAGTTTGTCCGACGACAAAAAGCATGTCATTGAAGATATGGGATTTGGAGGGCTATTGCATTTGAAGAAGCATAAGTTGAAGTTGAAACTTTGTGAGGAACTTATGATGAGGTTTGATGTGACTACTAGTCAACTAAACGTGCATGGTAATCGTTTGACCCTACGTGTTGATGATGTTGTCACCATATTGGGTTTGCATGGTGGAGGCATGAATGTGGATACTCATCTTGGTGAGGGAGATGAAGTGAGGGTCAGGTTTAATTTGGGTTATGGACAAATTAAATGTTCAAATCTAAAAACAGATATGATGAAAGATCTCACGGTCGGTGATGAATTTAGAGGGAAATTTCTTTTATATTCAATGAGTAGACTTTTGAGACCGTCTACTGCAGTTTATGTTCCCAATAATTATTTGAGGATATTAGGCAATATTGATGACGTGGGAAACTTGAATTGGGCAAAATTTGTGTACGATGGTCTTTTAGAAGGAATAAAAGACTATCAAAACAAATTGGAAGGCACATCAAGAGAACAATCTGTGACGGGCTGCATTTTATTGCTTGAGGTACGTTAGTAGTAACTTTTTTCTTATAAGTTTTAGTCCAAATAAGAAGAGTTTGCATTGTCAGAATTTAAAATTTAATGTGATTATCTTATGTTTATAGATTTTTTACCTAGAGCACGTAAATATGCATAATGTGACTCGTCATTCAAGCTCCTTACCACGCATACGCCACTGGGATGACAAGTCAATTGGGACGATTGTTAAGAAGGTTTCTAGTTTGGGTGGAGTTGATAGCATACAGGTGAAACCTAGGTTTTCTCCTGATGTTTTAAATAATATATATGTAGCGATTGAAATATTTACTGCAATTTCTTTGTATGCAGGTGGAATTTGGAAGGGATGGTGCTAGTTGCTTCACAATTGAGGTTGGAGTAATAATTTTCTATGTTATAGTGTTTCATGGATTAAATTGATGAAAACGAAGCATTTTATTTATCTTATTTTGTGAAAATTTCATTCAATAGTTATTTACATGTCAATTCGTATTAATTGTGTAATATTTTTTTAAAAAAATTTAACATTTGTTATTATATTTCTATTTGAAACAGGATGTTACAGCACAGATAGTTCAATTGAGGAATGAATTTCAACAAGAAATGCACTCTACAAAATCACAAATAGGTGACTTGAAGAAAGAAATGTCTGATTCTATGTCACAAATCATTACAAAATTGTCCAGCATTGAAAGCCACTTGGAAGCCAAAGCTGCAAATAAAACCATAGAGGATGAGGCGGTGCAGGTTCGTACAAAAAAAGGCGAGTTGAATGATGATGCTATTGCACATGAGAAGACATGCGAGGGAGTTAGAACGGGTGCAGATCACACGATCAGTGAAGAGAATATGACTACAAATGAAGATTCAACTAATGTGTATGATAAATTGGATAACATGGCTCGTGATTTCAAGGCAAAAGAAGATTTTGTGGAGCTTTCTGATGATGCAAGCTCACTTCTAAAAGCATCAACGCCTAAGGGAAACCACCTGGTAAAGTTTTAGTAGTTTAGGAAATGAAGGGTATTTTTTAGGAAATTTCTAATGATTAATTATGTAGGTAATTAATCTTGTTGTTGCTGGGTTAACACTGGAATATCGGGACAATAAAGAAAGCGATTATTGGTTCATGCCCTGGTCATTTACCGTGAGTCTCTGCACGCTTGAAATTATATATGTTTTCGTTTATTTATACTTTATTTCTGAAGTCTTCTATTGTTCATCTAGAATAGCATTTTAATGTGGCGTGAACGTCGAACTACTGAGCAGCTAATTCAAAGATACAAACGTCACTATATGGGAGACATAGCAACTTGTAAGCAGGTTAGAGAATCGTCCTTTAGAGATACTCTTTCATTCGCGTTAAAGATACTTAACCAACTCCTTACCCTTTGAGGCCTTAGGCCACTCAAATCTCCACAAGGTCAATCTAAAATCAAGACCGAACTGGAGCCAGACCGGGTCAAGACCGGACTATATCCAATGGATCGGACTGGATTAATTCTAACCAATTTAATCGGCCCGGAACATATAGCCACCCGTACTTTTAATTACCTAATATTTGCAAAAAAAAAAAATTATATCAATATGAAATTGAGTAAAATATGCTTCAGTTGGGAATTGAACCATGCCCAATTCATAATTATATAGCAACTCATCCGCTAGCCTATATTAGTAGATTGATGCTATACTGCACGCACTATTTTATACCTCTAGTTATTTTATACTCATTTCAGAAGCCTCAATAATTTATACTATTTTTTCAGCAATGCTAATATTCATTACATAATAGAAGTCTCAATTACGTAAGGTTTCCGTAATGACATTTTAGAACAGTTACGTAAAATACACATCCATTACGTAAGGCTTCCGTAAGACAGTTGTTTCTTACGTAACAGTTAAATCAGAAGCGTTACGGAAGCCTTCCGTAATACCTTCACACTTTACGTAATGCAATGCTAATATTCATTACGTAAAAGAAGTCTCAATTACGTAAAGCTTCCGTAATGAAATTTTAGAACTGTTACGTAAAATACAAATCCATTACGTAAGGCTTCCGTAATGACAGTTGTTTCTTACGTAACAGTTAAATCAGAACTGTTACGGAAGGCTTCCGTAATACCTTCACACTTTACGTAACGCAAGGTTAATATTCATTACGTAAAAGAAGCCTCAATTACGTAAGGCTTCCGTAATGACATTTTAGAACTGTTACGTAAAATACACATCCATTACGTAAGGCTTCCGTAATGACAGTTGTTTCTTACGTAACAGTTAAATCAGAAGCGTTACGGAAGGCTTCCGTAATACCTTCACACTTTACGTAACGCAAGATTAATATTCATTACGTAAAAGAAGCCTCAGTTACGTAAGGCTTCCGTAATACCTTCACTCTTTACGTAACACAAGGTTAATATTCGTTACGTAAAAGAAGCCTCAATTACGTAAGGCTTCCGTAATGACAGTTATTTCTTACGTAATAGTTAAATTAGAAGCATTACGTAAGACTTCCGTAATGACTTATTACTTTACGTAACGCGAGATAAATATTCATTACCTAAAAGAACCCTTCATTACGTAAGGCTTCCGTAATGAGATTTTATAACTGTTACGGAAGATGCACATACGTTACGTAATCATTACGTAACACCTGTTGTGTTTTACGTAATACAACCTGTGAAACCTGCTATAGCAGGTAAAAAAAATCAAGTTACCTTACTTCAAGGCATTGTAGGAATTTCCTAATAAATATGCAGAGCGACAGGGGAGAAAGATGTCAAGTTTAAGGTCATGTACTGCGGGATTTGCCATTCGGATCTTCACATGGTCAAGAACGAGTGGGGCACCAGCACCTACCCTCTTGTCCCTGGGTAAATCTTCCCACTCCCGTTCTCACCCTCTGTTTTTTTATTTTTTTCTCTCCTTTCTTTCATTCCCGTGATGCGAAAAAACCAGTTAGTCCCAATAAAAATCTCAAATCTGAATCTTATTGAAACTGTTGTTGCAAAAATTTTAGGCACGAGATAGTGGGAGAAGTGACGGAGGTGGGGAGCCAGGTGGAGAAATTCAAGGTCGGAGACAGAGTAGGCGTCGGGTGCATGGTCGGATCCTGCCGCTCCTGCGACAATTGCTCCAACGGGGTGGAGAATTACTGCCCCAAAATGATCCTGACCTACGCCGGGACCTACCACGACGGAACCATCACCTACGGCGGCTACTCCGACGTCATGGTCTGCGACGAGCACTTCGTGGTCCGGGTCCCCGACGCCCTGCCCCTCGACGCCGCCGCGCCTCTGCTCTGCGCCGGGATCACGCTGTACAGCCCGTTGAGGTACTACGGGCTCGACAAGCCCGGGATCCACGTCGGCGTCGTCGGGCTCGGCGGGCTGGGCCACGTCGGGGTCAAGTTCGCCAAGGCCATGGGAGCGAAGGTCACCGTCATCAGTACCTCCCCTGCCAAGAAGCAGGAGGCAATTGAGCGACACGGTGCGGACTCGTTCCTGGTCAGCCGCGACCAGGAACAAATGCAGGTAAAAAATCATAATTCGAATCGGTGGTCAAGAAGATTGATTGTTTCATTTGGTTAATCAGATTGACTTAATCTTGTACTGGTGTGTGTGTGCGCGTACAGGCTGCAATGGGGACGTTGGATGGGATTATCGACACGGTTTCAGCGGTACACCCAATAATGCCATTGATTGGGCTGTTGAAGACGCATGGGAAGTTGGTGCTGGTCGGTGCGCCGGAGAAGCCGCTTGAGCTGCCGGTTTTCCCTCTGCTGATGGGTATGATAGAGAGATGCTTTCTTCTTCTTCTTCTTCTTGTCAAGGTTTTAGCGTTTTAGCTGAACTGTTTGGCATATGTGAACTGCAGGAAGGAAGATTGTAGGGGGGAGCTGCATTGGGGGAATGAAGGAGACACAAGAGATGCTCGATTTCGCGGCGAAGCACAACATCACGGCGGATATCGAGGTTATATCGGCCGATTACGTGAACACGGCGATGGAGCGCCTTGAGAAGGGTGATGTTAAGTACCGATTTGTGATCGATGTGGCCAAGACTCTGCAGCAAGGTTAAGTTTTTGTGTGTGTAACAATAGGCAGAGTGTTCAATGGGGATTTTGGTTGAGTACTTAGTATAAACGACTAGGGTAGGCAAGTGGATGGTTGCTTTTGTTTGTTTGTAAGGATTTGAAGGATATATATATATGCCTTTATGGTGCTATCATTGTTTGTGAGGAGCTGAAATAAGGAGTGATTTTGGTTTTGTACCTTTTTCCTTCTTGGAGCATATAAACTTTGATTTCTTATATGTCTGATCAGCCCCTCAAGTATGGTTCCTTTCCATTCATCACCTCATATTTCTGCTGAAACGATTTCATTTGATGAACTCAGAAGTATACATTATGTCAAAAATCCTATATATGAACGGTTCTGTCACGAATATTTTAGTTGGCGCAACTGAAATGGAAAGATAACAAATATAGCTCTATGTATATAACTATTTACGCTGAGTTGTTTCTCGGTATATATCAGCCACGCTATTAGCAATATCGATCACAAAACGATACCGAACATCACCCTTGGCTAGCCGTTCCATTGCCGTGTTTAGATAATCTGCCTTGATAATCTCAATATCAGCTGTAATATTGTGCTTTGCTGCAAAATCAATCATTTCTTGTGTCTCCTTCATTCCCCCAATGTTACTTCCTGCAACAGTCTTCCTCCCTAAAACATTCAACATAAATCACATCCTTAATTGTTCTCCAATCCCTAGGAATTAAGCTTAAGCATATAAACCCAGCTAGGAATTGATAGTTTACTTACCCATAATCACTGAGAAAGCAGGCAGCTCTAGAGGCTTCTCTGGTGCACCCACTAGTATCAGTTTTCCGTTGGCTTTCAATAAACCCAGCAATGGCAATAGAGGATGCACTGCAGACACCGTATCGATTATACCATCCAACGTAAATTGTTCTTTCTGGAAACATTGGTAAAATGAGTTCCTTAGTTCTGGAGTCGTATGACTAAAAATGTTAACGTAATTTATACAACATTTTGACCACGTTTCATTTGTAGTTGAAACAAATCACGTAGGTTAGGTGGAACAATCAATTTTACCTTAAGCTGGTCCATGTTGGTGCTAACCAAAAACGAATCGGCGCCAAGCCGTTTCAGTGCCTCCTCTTCCTTCTTGGGCGAAGTACTAACAACGGTGACTCTAGCGCCAAAGGCCTTTGCAAATTTAACCGCGACGTGGCCCAGCCCACCAAGCCCAACAACGGCGATATGCATGCCGGGCTCACTCAGCCCATAGTACTTCATTGGGCTGTAAACCGTGATCCCAGCGCACAGTAGCGGAGCCCCGGCGTCCAGGGGCATGTTCTCCGGGAAGCGGACAATGTAGCGCTCTCTGGCCACCATGTGGTCGGAGTAACCGCCGTAGGTCATGGTCCCGTCGACGTCGATGGAGTTGTAGGTCTGGATGACTTGGGGGCAGTGGTTCTCGAGGTCGGCGGTGCAGTTCTCGCAGGAGTGGCAAGCTCCGACTAGGCACCCGACACCGACTTTGTCTCCCGGTTTCACTTTGGTCACCTTGCTCCCGACTTCCGTCACTTCGCCGGCGATTTCGTGTCTGCATATTGATGCAGAAAAACCAGAAGGAAAGAGGGGACAAACTTAGTTTTCCATATTATTTCAAAGTAAAAAATTACAGACTGAATATGTAATTGAAATTCACATTGTATTTGGTACTGTTAAGAATTATGAACTTAATTATGGAAAAACATTAAATAAATAAATGGTTTGTGACAAAAATCAAGATATGATAAGGCTACAGATATTGACTAGGTGAGATATGGCACATTAATTAATGAGGAGATATGAATATGGTATGGCAATCTACAAGATTAGTAAAATTAATGTGCTTAGTTGTCATATTAATTATCAAGGAAAATGAGAGGGTGATATGTGTATAAAGGTCATGTTGCATAGTCGAGAAAACTACCCACCAAAGAGAGGTGTGGTGTAAGAACCCACCAAAAGAAAACATGCAAGGGTGAGATGAACCCTTGAGAAAGGGGGAAAACATATTCCTTGTGTTACATTTCTCTCTACCATAACTCTCTCCCAACCTTTCTACAATTCTCAAACCCTTTCAGACCAAAAAATTCCTACTTATATCAAATCGCACCAAAAAAACACAATACAACAAAATTCAACATGGTATCAGAGCATACAAAAATTTCAACAGGTACAAATCCAAACACCATATATAATTTAAAATTTAAATCATTCCATTCAAACGCATACTAAGGCGATTCTCATTTGGAGATAAAGGAATCCGCATTATGGGCTCGTTTGGAGAACATTATTTTGATCACAGATTCATTGAATCAATAGATTCAAATAAAATTATGTTTTTTTTGCTACTTTTGTATCGTGAATTTTAGTTTTAGAGATTTCAAATCTCTAAAATCTAGAAATATCAAATCTCTCCTAATCAGGGAGATTTTATATATTGATTTGTAAGCTATTTGTGCCTTACTTTTTAATTTATCCCACTAATTAAATACCCTTATCAATAAATTCTCCATATTTTTTCCCCACTCTAATTATTTTGATTAAGGATAAAAATGTCATTTGATAATACAAATTTTAGAATTTTTTATTTTTATTGAATATTAACCATTGCAGTTACAAAACAATGACAAATTTGACAATCAAAAGAGCTGAAATCTTTTAGATTGTTTAAAATCTAGAAATCTTAACTCCAATTCTCCAAACGAGAGCCCTATGTTACAAATATATTCATTGAGAGTGGATTTCATTTTTGTTAGAAATTATATGTAAAATGAGATATATAGATTTACGTGTAGGTGTGTAGGTAGTAAAACATATATACCCGGGGAGCAAAGGGTAGGTAGAGAAGCCCCATTCGTTTTTGATGCAGTGAAGATCAGAGTGACAGATCCCACAATACAGAACCTTAAACCTCACATCCTCTTCTCCGGTTGCCCTGCGGGAGAAGCTGAAGGGAGAGAGATGACCAGATGGGTCGCTCGCTGCCCACCCAAACGCCTTCACCGGATGAACTTCGTCGGGAGACTTCTTCGCCATTAATATACGGGGATCGTTAGCTCTCCAGCTCTGACTATATCAAATAATGGTGAAGTTATGGAAACCGTCGTCGTTATATTCTGTGCGAACGCGAGGGTCGGATCGGGAGCAACCCAAGTCCAAGTTTTTTTCTTTCTTTCTCTAATGACACAAGAATTTACGTGGTCAAGCGTTGAAACCGGAAATGTTTTTTCTAAAAACATCCATTCTCTTTCTCAGTTTCTCAACCATCTTCGTTTCTGAAAACTAGTTGATATATATAAGCCACACAGCAGATTGTCAAAAAATCACAACACAAACATTCATTCTTTCTGACGTCGACCGATCCAAAACATGGAAGGGAAACTGATCTGGTGGTCACCTTCTCCATCATGGCTGATGCTTTCCACCTTATGCCTTCTTCTGTGTGCCGCACAGTTACAAACGAGTAGCGCTACTGTCGCTGCAGCCGGGTATGAAACTCTGAATTTCCTCTGCCTCCTTCCGCTTGCTTTTATTAGGTTCTCGAATTCGGAAGGAATATTAATATTGTTTTTTTTTTTTTTTGTCTCTGATTGCATGCAGGACGGTCCCGATTCCGGCAGGAAACGTTGTCCCGTCCGCTGGGGTCAAACTCACGTCTGGAAAAGACGAAGTAATGTTCAAATATACGTGTTATCTCTTCCTGTTAATGCATTGTTAACTATGTGCGCAAAAATAATACAACTACTTTCAAAGAAATCGTTAAGCATGTGCATGCATGTAGCTAGGAGGATCATAAATTGTATAGTTGAGAATTTAATTTCCCCTTTCTTCTGTGTTCGGTTGATAACCATAACAGGCGATGATCGACAATGGAATCATACAATTGACGTTGACGAATCCAGGAGGGTTTGTCCGTGCACTGAAATACCAGGGCGTCGAGAACGTGTTGGAAACCCACGAGCCCGATGATTTTGGAGGGTCAGTCTAGTTTTCCTTTGCATCCTGTTCTGATATCGTACTATATACGGGATAATTCATGATTATGCTAATAACAAACAGTAGTGACGCGCAACATGCGGACAATATAGCTAGCAAGCAACATGTTAGATGGTTTGACAATTGATGATGAATTGCATACATTTGATTTGTAACATTAATTTGACAGGATCATGCAACATAATCAAGCAATTAGTCATGAGTCATGACAAAAGTTATAGCCAATTAACCTAATAGTACGATAAAAAAAAACAATTGAATCATCCATACATATGTACGCATCATGATCTCACAACATTCGAACTTAGAAAGCGATGAATGTATGATAAGTTTTCGATTTTGTTATATATGAGCCTATTCTAATCTTATATTGTCCAAACTTCTTTATCTAAAAATTCAGGTATTTTGATGTCTCATGGGATCACCCAGGAGGAGAAGGGAAGACTGAACAGTAAGTAGAATTAATTAATGACTTATTCGTTTCATATTTAATTTTACTTTCTAACGCAAGAAAAGCTTACTATTTTGATTATGGTTCCATTTGAAGGGTGGTGGGAACGAAGTTCACCGTCATAACAGAAACTGAAGATCAAGTAGAGCTGTCCTTCAGCAGCTCATGGGCTGCTTCTCCAAAGGATTTGGTACCACTCAACGTTGACAAAAGGTTCATAGTACAAAAGGGTGTCTCAGGTTTTTACTGGTACGTGATCGTCGAGAGGCTCAAAGGATGGCCCGACGTCAACATGGATCAACACCGAATGGTTTTCCGGCCCAAAATAACCATGTAAAATTTGTCACCTCTTACTACTTCCCTCGATATAGGCCCGATAAGAGAAATTTCCAATGCCAGCTTCACAATCGATCCAATGCTTGCTTTTTTTTTGTGTGTGTTGTTTCAGGTTCAAGTACATGGCAGTATCCGACGAAATCCAGAAGATGATGCCTGCTTACAAAGACAGAGAGACTGGAGAGAAACTGGCGTACCCAGAAGCCGTGCTCTTGACCACTGCGATCGAGCCCGAGTTCAAAGACCAGGTGGACGACAAGTATCAATACTCCATGGAGATCAAGGATCACAAGCTCAAAGGATGGATCTCGGACGATCCGAAAATAGGGTTCTGGGTGATTTCGCCTAGCGAGGAGTACATCGCCGGCGGACCCAACAAGCCTGAACTTACCTGTCACTGCGGACCCATTTGCCTTGCTGTAAGCCCATGTTACTTGTGTTGCAAGAAATATGGTATACGCGTAACAATTTTCGTGGCTAATCGTACTATATGTTACCATGTGTTGTTTGTTCTTTTGTGGCGTACGTACACAGATGTTTACCAGCGTGCACTATTCTGGGTTGGATATGGTGACGGAGTATAGGAATGGAGAGCCATGGAAGAAGGTGTTTGGGCCGGTTATGGTGTATTTGAACTCTATTGTTCCCTCCAACGATCATGCGGCTCTTTGGCAAGATGCAAAAGCACAGGTACTCCACTCTATTTTTTTTTTTTTTTTTTTGTTACATTCTGTTACAAGCAATGGACTCAAATATGTTTGTACTGTTGGCAAATTCAGATGGAGAAAGAAGTGCAGAACTGGCCCTACAATTTTGTTGCATCGGCAGACTATCTCCCGGCTGCTAAACGAGGAAGTGTTTCTGGCCAACTACTGGTGGATGACAAGTATGATTTCAGTGCTACTTAAAACGACCAAATGTTTTTTTTTCTTCTTTCCTTCCACCAAATAATATTATCAATTTATCATTGACTATTTGCCTAAAAAAATTAAATCAATTGCAGAGTCTTAAGTCCGACTCCAAAAGAGGCATGCACAGCATATGTGGGTTTGGCATTACCAGGAACCACCGAAGTCGCGTTTCAATTCGATGTCAAGGTTTTCTTGAATTTCCCTACATATCTCTAGACTCCATTAATTTAAAATAGTAGCAATAATTACTCAAACTACTATTGGGGAGGTTCAATTATTAACAAAAGAGTAGTTTATATAATAATTTGAGAGAAAATACTTTGAAGAAGAAACTAAACAGGAATTCAATTTGATATGTTACTAACTAATTTCTAAATGGGTCTGAACATTTTTATTATATTTCCATTAAAAAATTGTTTAATTTGTGTTTGGCGGTTTCGTTTATTTTTTCAATGTTAGGGTTATCAATTTTGGACACAAACAGATCCAAAAGGAAATTTCGTGATTAAAAATGTGATACCCGGAGACTACAATTTATACGGTTGGGTTCCAGGGGTTGTCGGCACTTTCAAGCATCCCGATCTTATTACCATTCAACCAGGTGTGCATTACTTAATATTCTATATCTAACTCCTGAATGCAGCCTTGTAGTTTATTTGCATTTTGCAACATGATCAAAATCGAATTTGAAACTCAATAATGTTTAATATTACAGGAAATGAGGTCAAATTAGGTCCAGTTACCTACAAGGCTCCGAGAAATGGTCCAACATTGTGGGAAATTGGCATTCCAGACCGTTCTGCTGCCGAGTTCTTTGTCCCGGACCCAGATCCGAAGTTTGTCAATAAATTCTTCGTCGACAAACCAAATGATAAGTAAGTGCTATATACAAGCAATTTTCAAACATCGACCATCCTTTTCCATAAAGTTAGCTCACTAATTTCACTTTTCAATTACAGGTACAGACAATATGGACTGTGGCTCCGGTATCCTGAACTATATCCTAAGAGTGATCTTGTTTTTGATATCGGTGTTAGTAATTACAGCAAAGATTGGTTCTTTGCTCATGTTCTAAGGTATGTATAACCTTCTATCTAGTTATAGTTTTCTAATGATTTTATCGCATTTCTCACTATGAATTGGTGGGTGGAAATTGGTCCTATCACATTTAAATTACTCCAATTTTGTTGCAATTTTACAGAGAAGTAAAGTCGGGTGATTGTGAACCGACCACATGGCAGATCAATTTTGACCTCCCAGATGTATGCCCAACTGGAAATTACACTCTTCAATTGGCATTGGCAGGCGCACTAGAAACAAATACATTTGTAAGAACACTTTCCTTTGTCAACTTCCATTGTAAATGGTGTATTTATATTAGAATTATCATTTATGTAGTATGCATTTTTTTGGTGTCCTTTTCCCTCAGGTTTACGTGAACGATTTAAATGCTAAAGCCCCAGCATTTGCTACAGAGAGAGTGGGAAAAGACAATGCAATTGCGAGACATGGAATTCATGGAATTTACTGGTTCTTCAGTGCATGTCTACCTTCAAATTTATTTGTAAAAGGGAAGAACTCAATCTTTCTTCGTGCGGCAAGATCTGGAGATTTCCCTTTTATGGGAGTCATGTATGACTACATTAGACTTGAAGCACCTCCCACCCAACCATAAACACCTCAATCTTCATTCCCATTTTTTCATTTCTTATAATTACATATTGAGTTGATTTCTTGTTTGAAAGAAAAAAAATTTTGAGGGAGAGGCTTGTAAGTGGAATTTCACTTTAATATATTTGTCAACACCATCCATTGTTTCACTCTTTTATTTTATTTGTCAACTCTTTCATCCATCAGTTTTGAATAAGCAGCCATTGGCTTAGTTAACCAGGTTAGTAGTAGGATGATCAATGAGGTTGTGGTATTTAGAAATCAATATTTAAGTTGTAAACAATTACGACATTGTTGATGGGAGTGATCAAGCTCTCATTGCTAATGTATCTTCTCTTTTAATATTTGTTTTGCACTTTCATCTTTTGCTTCCTTTTGGCTAAGATGTATCTTAGTTTTGTTGTTTGTAATAGGGCTTATGAGTCTACACCAAACTGTGGTGAGTGTCAACTCTTGAATGGACAAGATTGCACTATGCTAATCACCTTTTCTAACTGCTCTTTACCCATGTTCCATAGATCTCTTCATTTTGCTAGCTTTTGTTTCATGATGATAAAAATCAAGTATACACATGTTTAGCTCCTTTTTTTTACTCTATACAGTATTATTTAATGATATTTTCAAGTCTCAAGACCTAGATATATACAGATCGTCGTCGATGGTTGCATGATTTGGAACATTAAAGGCATAATTGGAGCTCAAACAAAGATCAAATACCAAATCTAACTTGTTGGTATCACTTGTTTTTCATCTTGTCCACATACTCCTTAGTATAATGGGTGTGCCGAGAGTAACTATCGTTACACTATTGATAATGGCCTTGCAATGTTATGCCAAGACCATGTTCCACAACAAAGTATTGACTTCTTGCAATCCTACTCCTCTTATTAATTATGTCTCTCTCTTTTTGGTGTTATTTTAATGCAAACCTTACATTTCAATCTTCAATTTTTTTTATAAGCTGTGTTATCTTTCGTGATGTGCATAAATTAGACCCGCTTTCTTCTTTCTTGGCTATAAAAAGTTACCCAGAGGATATTAATGTATTCATCATGCCCATTAAGTTCTGGTTGATGAGGCTGCATTTCCTTTTGCATATCCAAAGATCCAATATGGTCGTTCTTCATCCTCTCCATGCACTTTGATAGATCAATCATCTATAATATTTCATGAGCATTCAGGTTCAACAAACTGACTATGGCCTATTTCTGAGCCAACATAAGTACATATTGGATCTTCTTCATAGACCCGAATGGATGAGTTCAAACCCATCTCTACTCCTTTTCACGATAGAGAATGTTCTAGATGGTGTTTATATTCTTTGTCTGCGTGCTCTGCTTCAAGTTTGTATAGCAATATAGTTGGTGGCCTTCAATAGATAAGCTTCACACGCCTTTATTTTGTCAGCATGTCTCTCAGCTTCAACATGCTTCAACAAATTCTCATTAGATCATTATTAAACCTACTAGATAATTAGACTGTGCTTCGTGATGGTTTACCTAAAAAAATATATATGTTGTTTATGGTAAAATCAAAATTGCATTAAGCCCAAGCAAACTCAAGGCAAATTACCTTGAGCGCCTCCCAATAATTCTTACAGACCATCAAAGGCAAAGAAAAATTACAATTGATGGTAATTTATTATTAACTACCCAACAGGTTATCGATAGGCTATCCTACAGCAATCTATCACCATATGCCGCCATTTCGAAATTCTGCAGAGATCTACATGTTAGGCTTATGGTTATGGCCATGCTCCACAGAGCTCTGCCAACTCTTGCATTTGCGAAATTCCCTTTCCACTGCGAGGAGTACCAACAAACCCATGCTTTCCAAGAATCAAGTCCTGCAATAGGAGCAAGAAATCACAAGCATTTGGCCAGCACATACTGCACATAAGAACAATCATACAACAGATGAAAACATGTCTCCATGCCACTAGGTCACATTACACATAGCCTTGAACCTAGTTTCTCCCAAGCTAGCAGCTTGTCCCCAGTCCTCAAACGAATTTGCACAGCCAACCAAAGAATAAACCCATGCATAGGAACTATATTCCTTCTCCATACTATAGCATGCCAATCAACTTCAACATATTGGGGCCTTATTGAATCCGCACTTGCTTTACAGAGTACTTAGCCATACTATCCCCATCCCAATGCAAGTAAGAACCTTGGCCAGTAACAAAGACAACATCATATCTTTACACTTCAATAGCCTTCGCCAAATCCAAGAGCCGGCAGCTCATTCCTTTAAGTCCCAAAAAGAAGACTGTTTAATTATGTATCTCTGCACTCAGGCTACCCAGAGAGAACCACTAGAGATCAACACATTCCAATGATGTCTAATTACAAAATTGTGAATGCCTATGCCACTTTCATTTTAGGGCGAGCAATAAACTATCAGGAGACAAGAACCCTCGTCCTCAGACTATCTTCGGGTATATCCCACAAGAACTAACTACATATCTTCTCAGCTTTAGTGATAACAAAGTTGGGAAGTAGAAAAAGATTCATCCAATACTATAGAAGGCTAGTCATAACTGAGCTAATTAATTGCACCTTACACGCAAAGCTTAGTGCCCTTGCCCTCCAACTCTGCACTCTATGTGTGATCTTATCAAGTAGAGATCTACAAACCTTACAAGTGAGTTTGCCTGGGATTAATGGCACACCCAGGTATTTGATGGGTAGCTATCCAAGGGGAAACCCAGTATAGAAAGATGTAGCTTGCTTCTCTTCCAGCAAGATGCTTTCACAATAGAGTTGACACTTCGATTGATTTTACCTTATCTCTGATAAAATGTAATACTCTTCCAGTAGCCAGTGCTCAAATAGAACCATTTTTAAATACTAACAAATCTTCAGTAAAATAAAGGTGAGTTAAAACTAATGGTTTACAACGAGGGTGGTAAGGAATTTGATTTTCAAAGGCAACCTTTTTCCTTAGTGCATTAAGAACCTCCATAGCATTGGTAAACATATAGGGGGACAAATGATCTTCTTGTCTCAACCCCTATAGTTATTGCCTTGTTAAGTAAGTCATTATCCTCTTCATCAGCTTTGTTAGTCAGAATCCCTTGAAGGTACTCCACAGAGGCCCTCTTCACATTTGTATCCACCTCTCCAATCAACTTAGAGTAGAAATTCACATCTACCTTCTCCATTATTTGGATGTCTGATATCTCATTACCAGTGCAGTCAAAATCGCGCATTAAAACGTAAAAACTTACGTTTTTACGTATTCAGTTTCTACCTAAAATCGCTTAGTCACAAAAATTGGTAAAAACATGGGTAAAATCGCTTAAAATTCGATAAAATCACGATTCCGAAGCGTTTTTATACGATTTTGATCATCTCATAAAAATGTGCTAATTGGCCGAAAATTATGTAATTTTGGAGACATAACAGCAAAAAATAAAAATAAAAAGGAAAACATGATTCATCACTCGTTCTACAACTAGTGTCGAAATAGGGGCTTCACATTAGGTTGAAAAGACACCTAATGGTATTCTCAACGCTCGCTGACCTTCTATCAGTCTTCTCACTTAATCTTCACATGTGGCTCTTACCTGGGTTAGGATAAAAGTTTATGGGTAATTGATCGTATGTAATTATGTAAACTCAAACCTGCTTATGAGAATTTGGATTCTCAAGCTCGTTTACGGGTTACGATCTACGTTTATGAACTTATTATTAAGATGTTATGAGTTTTCTCTACTTTTGAGTCAACACAAATTAGTTTATGTGTTAGATATTACATTTTAATTATGAATGTCATGTAGTTATTCACTTATCTAAAATCTACACACTCGCATTTTACATAGTATATGTTGTACTTAACATATTTTTAGCTATTTTAGAGGGTGCGTAAAAAACTTACGCTTTTACGCTTTGATTCTATGTTTTACGATTTTACCCATTTTCCGCTTTTAGGTAGAATCGCGCTTTTAACTGCATTGCTCATTACCATTATACTAAATATGAATTCTAATCCTCACTGACCTGTGAAAAACGAGGTGTTCATATCACCTTCTTGGATCCACTGAGCATAAGATTTCTGCTTATAGAATAACTCCTATGCTCGTTAAATCTCTAGACATTGTCTGGCAATAGAAGTTTATTCTTCAATCAGGTCAGGAGTGGGCTGCTTTAGAACTTCAAGCTGTATACTTTCAGCTTACTTTCAATCTCCCTATCCTGGCCAGACATATCAGGGTACACCTCTTTGTTAAGTTTCGTAAGCCTCATTTTTACTTCTGCAATCTCCCATAGAATATGAAATGCAAGAATCCCCTCTTTTGAGTATTCCAAGCCTATGAAACCAACTCCATATAAGAAGGATGAAGACTCCAGAGCTTAAAATACTTAAAGGGCTTAGGAAGAATATCCAAATAAGGATTAGACTGAATGAATAGCTCATAATGGTAAGAAATTCATGGAGCTCTTGTGTGTGCATTGCATCCTTTCGATTCTCTTAGTTATAGGATTCAACTTTTGCTTATTCCACCAAGTGAACTAGGAGCTCAGAACTTTGTGATCTAGCAACTGCATACCATCTATTCGACTTAACAAATTCAACATACTTTGAGTAAGGCTAACCATACTTGATTACTCTGAAGCTTCAACAATTGCATTAAAATCTCCCATCAATGCTAGAGGTACATGATTCTCTTTATGCATCAATAACTCTCTATACATACTGCATCGATCTTGTTCCATTACGACGTGTTTCCCCTATGCTATTTTTGTATCTTCATACAGGGTCTCCAAAATAGTTGATGACTAGATTGGGATTTATTGTAATTAGCTATATACTTCTAGGAAGAGAACGTATTATTCACTATATTTATACTATTGACTTTAGTTATTCATGTTTCTAAGATAGATATTATATCAATAGTAAGTGATTTCTTAATAATAGCTATATGTTTGTCAAAGACATTGAATCCTCTAAAATTCCAGCAGAGGATCCTCATTTACCATGTTTCCTACCCCTTCCTCGGCCACGAGTAGGAGAAGAGGGGGGGTTTTGCACTATTTTTTGTCCTCTAGAGAGAAGGGAAGTTTGTTTCATCTAGCAAAGGTTGACTATTAACTTTTGTTGGTAACACGACTGAGTGAGACGAACCATTGCTAGAGTTAGACTTCTTCTTCCAATTACCTATTAGAGTGAAAACCTTCAACATACACATTAGATCTAGTAACACTGACAGGAGGAGTTCTAATTTGACTAGGTGACACACTCAGACACTCTCATCCTCAATAGATTGAGAAGCCACCTGGATAGGCATCTCAACAGTATGGGAGACAATATTCCTAAATAGTTTGTTGCTCTTGATTCTCATAAGCATTACCAGATCCACTAGGCTTGTCTAGGGTTGCTTCTTCAACTGCTTTACCCTTCTCATCAACCTTCGAAACTAGCACACCCTCAACTTGTTGATTCACTTTTCAGCTTCTACAAATAGGACCATTTGTCGATTTAGAGCAATCTTGACCAAAACACCCACACTTAGAACACAATGGAGTCATATTACAATTATCCAGATAAACTCATAGGTTATTCATGCCATCTGGCTTCATGTTCAGCTTAGTAATAAGCTTCGTCTTAGCAT